CAGGGCAGGCCCTATAAGGAGAGGCTACAGGACCTGAACCTGTTCAGCCTCCAAAAGAGAAGCCTGAGGGGGGATCTTGTGGCCTGTTATAAACTAATCAGGGGGGATCAGCAGGCATTGGGAGAGTCCCTGTTCCCCCGGGCACCGCCAGGAGTGACCAGGAATAATGGTCACAAGCTGGCAGAGGGTAGGTTTAGGCTAGATATCAGGAGGCGCTACTTCATGGTTAGGGCGGCTAAGATCTGGAACCAACTTCCAAGAGAAGTGGTGCAGACTCCTACCCTGGGGGTTTTTAAGAGGAGGTTAGATGAACACCTTGCTGGGGTGATTTGACCCCAGTACTCTTTCCTGCCATGGCAGGGGGTCGGATTAGATGATCTACTCAGGTCCCTTCCGACCCTAGAAACTATGAAACTATGAAACCAGCTTCAGGTACTTGGAGCTACAGTTGTGTCTGGTGAAGTAGTGAATACTTGCAAGTGCAATTACAGTCAGTTGAAGCTGTGGGTGCTCAGCTGCTCTGATAGTAAGACAAGTTACTATCAAAAGTAAGACAGCTTTAAACAGGAGTGCAGGCTTCTGTGGGGTGGGCACCGCTGAAGGATCATGCTCAAGGATGCCCTTTGATGTTACCCTTCAGTGTGGATCAGAGTAAAGGGGTGTGTTTTAGGGAAAGTCAGTTTGCCTTGGTATTTTCCCATTTTGCAAATGGAGAAGGAAACAAACTTAGTACTCCAGGATGTTCTGTTATTAATTTAATACCTTTAAAGTGTTTATATAATGCCAAGTCCTCTGAAAAATTGGGCTGTAGATCTTTCTGATTATAGGCAAAATAAGGTATCCAAACTTAATTGGAACTTATGCATATTTGGGCCATAATCATTTTCTGTCAAATTTCATCCTTAGAAATGTAGAAAATAGGACTGTAAAGTACCTGAAGACATCTTCCAGTCCAACCTCCAGTTTAAACAGAATCATCCCTGTCTCAACTATCCCAGCCAAGTGTTTGGCTAACCTGCACTTGAAAACTTTCAAGGATGGAGAATTTACAACATCTGCAGGTAGTTTGCCCTATTGCTAACCCACATTCACAGGTTGGATATTGGCAAAATATTTCTAAATCTCCATTTTTGCAAATTTAGCCCATTATTTACTGGCCTATCCCTATGTGGACACAGACCATTGATTGCCGTCCCCTTTATAACAACTTCCAAAGGAATGCCTTTAACCACTGGATTATAAGTACTCTATGATAGAATTCTCTTATGTTTCAGTTTATATAAAATGCATATACAGCAGTGCAAAGACTAGAAACAAATTTCTGTCTTTCCAGGCGAGTGCTTCAACACGTAAGCAGGGGTACCAATTCAACCTGATTTCCCACCCCCGTGTATCTGGACTGTAGAGCTCCTTAGGAACTGAATCTGGAGTCACAGGGGTTAACATCTCTATCACTCACCTCCTTCTACTGAAACACGTCCTCAGTGGAGCTCTGTACCCTGGATTTTGGCAGTGGGTCCTGCCCTTGAATTCCCTACCCCTCTAGAAGCCCTTAGATTAGGCTAAATCAGGACGGGACCACAGGACACACAGGCAACAGGCCCAGGGGCTGCATGCTGCTTTGGTGTGCCCCTTGGCTCTTGTGCATTATGTGGGCTGCCCAGCACCCCCCTCCTGTGCACATGGTATGGGAAGCTTCATAGCCCAAGCCACCCGGCTCCCCCTGCATGGCTGGGAGGGAGTAAGGGGGAGCTGGGCAGCCCTCACTCCACCTCATGCACAGCCTGACACACTCTGCCAGCCATGCACACCACTAATCTGCAGTGTGGGTGGGCTCCCTTTTGGCCCCTGCACAGCTTGGGCAGTCTAACCCACCTGGCTGCTGTAGTAGGAAAAAATGGAGAGGGGAACAGCCTCTGGGGTGCATATGGGCCCACAGGCTGCCAGTTGACCAGCCCTCAACTAAATGATACTTTTGCAGGCTGGATCCACTGCTGTGAGCTGTATGTTTGACACCACTGCTCTAAGATACAGAATTATAATTCTTGATAAAGTGACATTCATGTGGCCAGAGAGTGTTCAGTTATTCAGTGCTTCAGCAGGAGGGACTGATGATAAGGACAGTCTCTTGAATGAAGGGAGAGTTCGGTTCCAACCCCCTTAAGCTGAGAAAGTCCTTTAATTGGTGTCTCACTTCCAGGATGAATGCTCTTAACATTAAAAAAACAAGGTGGCTACCTGTGGCAGCAGCACTACTATCACCACCTTTGTAGATGTTCTTTACACAGTATTGTGAGCCCAGTCTAATTTTTTTTAACAGATGCTGGTGCCTGCCTTAGGGGAATTTCAGGCTCTGGATCCCAAATGGGTGAAGGTAGCTGCCTGCAGCTCTGACTTAGGTACATAAGCTCCAGGGAAAAATGAAGTTACAGGGGAACCCCTGTGCTTCATGTTTCCTGTTGGCTACCTCTGCAGAGCTCCATGCTCAGCCGGAGAGTTTTTTGGATCACCCTTCTGAGGAGACATCGCCCCCACCCCCCAGACACACACACACTTTCTGGACTTTCTTTCTGGACTTCAGCAAGGCTTTTGACACCATCTCCCACCCCATCCTCATTAAGAAATTGGGTGACTGTGGCATTGATGCCTACACAGTCAGATGGATTGCAGATTGGCTGAAGGGTCGCACTCAGACGGTGGTGGTGGATGGGTCATATTGGACCTGGGGAGAAGTGGGCAGCGGAGTCCTCCAAGGCTCTGTCCTTGGGCCCGCGCTGTTCAATCTCTTTATCAGCGATTTGGACAACGGGGTGAAAAGCAACCTGTTTAAATTTGCTGATGATACCAAAATTTGGGGTAAGGTGAGCACACTAGTAGGGAGGGAAAGACTGCAGCAAGACTTGGATAGGTTACAGGGGTGGGCTAACAAAAACAGAATGCGTCTCAATACTGACAAGTGCAGGGTGCTGCACTTGGGCAGTAATAACCAGCAGCACACTTATAAGATGGGAAACTCCCTTCCTGAGAGCACGGAGGCAGAAAGGGATCTTGGAGTCATTATTGACTCCATGATGAACATGGGCCGACAATGCGAGG